AGGTCACACAGCCAAGCTCAAATCCAGATCTGACTCCAAATCCAGCTGCCTCTTGTTTTCTTTTGTGCAGGACTATCCCTGGCCACTAACGTGTTGCAGCCATCCATTTGCCAGTGGAGCCCTGTCCAGACTCAGAGGATGCTGTGGCTCTCATTAGCTTCCAATTTACATTTCTATCTCTCCAGCCTTGACTCCTCCAGCGTTTCAGTGCCACTTTTTCAAAGACAATATGAATAAAATTTCTTTTCTGAAGATAATGTTCCCCAAAAAAGGATCTGGGGAAGCATACTTCTCCAAAAACAACAATACATGAACAGACCAACAGGGAAACAATAAATGTTTGACAACAGAGTGTCAAACAAAATCAAACCCAGGCGCCATAAGGTGTTTTTTGAAAAACAGCTCTAGTGATGTGGCAGGACATCTACGAGCCTACTCTAGATCACTTTCACTCATTAGGGAGGCAAAGGGTGACAAGGATGACAGGCACAAAGCATCAAATGATAACTTTTAAGCCCCACTTTAGCAAGGGGGGGAAAGACAATCCCTGTTATGTCCTAGGAACTCAGTAGCCATATTTTATTTAATCCTCACATGCCCAATCAATCACACAAGTGCTTCCTGAGTGCCTCATGCTATGTGCCGCACACTGTGCAAGGCCCTGGGGAAATAAGGGTGGACAGGACAGATATGATCCCTTTCCTCATGGAGCTCAGTCAAGTGTGGCAGTTCTCAACCTTTCTCCCCCGCAACACACCTCGCCCCTAACAGTCTTCAGTATGGATTACACCTAAACACGAAAACAAAAAACCTCACAACTGGACCAATAAGCAACATCATGATAAACGGAGAAAAGATTGAAGTTGTCAAGAATTTCATTTTACTTGGATCCACAATCAACACCCACGAAAGCAGCAGTCAAGAAATCAAACGACGTATTACACTGGGCAAATCTGCTCCAAAAGACCTTTTTAAAGTTTTAAAAAGCAAACATGTCACCTTGAAGACCAAAGTATGCCTGATCCAAGCCGTGGTATTTTCAATCACCTCACATGCATGCAAAAGCTAGACAATGAATAAGGAAGATCGAAGAAGAATTGATGCATTTGAATTA